CATTTGGAGAGCAGAACATCTGATACGTGAAAAAGAATAATACCTTCGCTTTCCAACACCACCAGGTGCCTGTGACTGGGCAGGGCGACCCACCCATCATCCCTTGCAGCACTTTGTTTCCATGATTTTGCCAAATCTGTAACATCCAATGGTAATGATGGCCACTAAACTGAAAGCCTAATTCTGAACTCGCATAACACGGTGAGATTTTAATCTTCAGAGCTGCACTGTGCTTGGGATACTTCAATTTGATAATGTTACCAGCTGCCTACCTACTCCGCTTCACTTGGACACTTCGCCTTCGCTCGTAATTTTATCAGTGCCTGTCAAAACTGCCAGCATGGAACCAGTGGGAAAACCAGGTCCCAAGGTCTCCAGAAATAAAAGTCCAGCACAAACTAGTGTGAATTTACAAAACCAACAGGCTTAAAATTTAGACTCTGGGAAAAGAGACTAGGAACATCAGTTTTTTCAGCCAAGATATACAGGGTTTTCTTCCAGTCCCACTGTTTTCAAATCCCCTTATACAGCACTGGCAGGATTGAAGATATGCCTTCATTACTGGACAGGAAGGTACTGAAATAGAGTAATTTAAATAAAGGAAAATTGATCTAATTGGGCAACGTTGCAGATAGTGAGCTGATGTTGGATAAAATCCCAAAGTTATATTTGCTCTTCAGTGTTCATCCGTAATTCCTATTAATATAAATATGTTACTAAATCTCCCACAGTAAGCAGCTGTGGTAAATGACTTCTGTAGGCTTAAAAGCCAACAGTAATAAAGTATTATTTTGTTTTCTATGAAAAAAAATAACAACAGAGGCTTATATGAGATGTGCATACACATGTTTGGTTCCAGTGGAGTGTTATTCATGAGCACCCAAAGTTATTTCCTATCTGAAATCTGTGCCACTGCAAATCAGCTACATAGCTATTGCCTTCCTGTTGTGATTCTTACAGGCTCCAAGTTACATAAATTTGCTGTGTACAGCCCTGGGTCTGCACAAAAATTTTGGGGCCACCTTTATGCCATTTCTCCTTGATGACTTAAGTTTACCGTTAAGTTAGGAACACAAGATCAGGAAAAATTACCCGAGCCACTGTATCCAGTCCTCTACAAGCCCAGTTAAAAACACAGCAGGTATTTCAACAAGCTACAGCTTATCTGTTCTATATGCCATCACTCGGGGTGGGGCTGATGATGATGGGGATGACACCAAAAACCCTAAAAACTTAAAAACAAACAAACAAGTTAAAAAAAAAAAGTGGAAAAGCCATAACTACAGCATGTCACGGGAAGTGAGCAGGAGAGGTAAGGAACTGCCAGTGTCTTAAGTCTGTATAAGAGCTTGCAGCATGTTAAATATTTATGGTCGAAAGAAATAGGGAAACTGATACAGAAAAAATTATCCTTAAATCCAAGCAGCTACTGCAGACTTGCTAAGTGTGAGATGTGCTACTAGGGATTACAGAAGGTGTCAGTGAAGTTACACACAGATATATACACAGTAGTAAAAGGAAAACACTTCAAAATAACCTATTATCCAAAACAAAACTCTAGTCTTTGTATAAGCCTGTTTCCATACATAATCTTTCCAAGTGCCCTTTATAGAATTTAGGCAAAACTTGAATTACTTTCTTTTTTTAATACGAAAGCAACATGAATTGAGGGTGCTAATAAAGCATTTCATACTGCATTCCACAATGTCTTACTGGAAACATCAATTCAAAATGGCTTGCAGTGCAGAGATACAGGCTGGAATTTGGGTTAAAAGATCATAAATTGGAGATAATGGTGTATCCACATTATGTAAACTTGTCTTTTGTCCATCTTTACTTATTAAATTCATTTACAGTCACCACAGAGACCTCAGATGGAAGCACCACTGCATCAAAGAAATGTCTGGTGAAAGCTCTGAGGAAAACTTGGGTACAGTTCATGGACTGATATGAAGTCAACACAATGCTGACTTTGGTGGTGGAAAAAAATCCTGAGGAAATAAAGCCACCATAGCCTTTTAGAGGCCATCAAGAAGAAAGAAACACAGGTTAATCCACCAACTCTAAAACCCATTGTAGAGGAAAGAAGAGATGCAGCTGCACCTGTAAAGATGTCTGTCTACCCACCACCAGAGGTGTGGAATGGCATGGGCTAGCAGCAGCAATCCAGAGCAGAGCAGCCAGCCCCGCTGCTATTTCCCCACGAACCAGCCAAGTCCTCGCAGGATCCCAAGACTCGAACCTCCCACAGTAAGCCTGTGCATCCACTGAGCTCTGGAGTCAGAGCTCGTACTACTGTGGCCTTAAGTTGGACCTTGCCCTATGCTTACCCACCCAGTGATACAGTCCTGCTCCCTCATTATTCAGCTGACTGCACTATGGAGGCAGAGTTGGACATGGATATAATTTAATAAGTTTGTGGTATGACTAGAGATGTTTGGCACACTCTGAATAACCAGTGTTCCAGTAACTTACTGAGCTTGATTACCTTGGAGGTTCTGACAGGAAAAATAATGTTTTCCTAAAGGTTGAAGCAAATTCTACTAAAAACATCAGCAACCCAGGACCAAAGTCAAGATGCCATTTCTATATTGCTATTGATTAAGCTCACAGAAGGACTTCAGCTCCACTGAAATGTAATACCTACCCCTTGGTACCTCTCTTTTATGCACTTTGGCCTTTACATCCCATGAGCCCTTTAATCTCCCTCTAAAGAGCCAACTGGTTCAGGCTGCTTCTCAGCCATCCATAGAAAACTGTAGTCCTCAGAAGAAATGATTTCCCTCTCCTCCTCCATCAACTGATTTCCAAAGCTGAGCCAGAATAATCACACTACGAGCATACTTATATGGTGCACAGCCACCTGGAATATGTGGGGTTTGCTTCATTTCCAAGCTACATTTGTCATTCACAGCGCTTAACTGCAGGCATACAGCAAAATGTTTAGGCAATAAAAAAGGGTTTTCAATAACATTGTTGAAAAATAAGTTAAAACAGAAATTTAAGGAGAGTTTGGTAAATCTTGAAGCAGGAAAAAGCTGAATGTGTCATTTCAGCATCATGGCTTTTCTTCAGTTCTTGATCTTGCCTCAGATTTGAAAGCAGATCCCTCCCTCCAACTTCTTCATGCTCTTTAAATCAAGGGCCCCACTGGACTAATGTAATCCATGTGCTTACTATTGCTTACATGCTATTCGTAAGGGTCAGCTCAGCTGAATTATGACTGCCTCACACATACTTCCCTACTGTCTGTTACCTTTATCACAGAAAGGCACGCTTAGAGATAAAATAAACAATGTGACAAACGTGAAGTTTATTATGTTTTCAAGAACCGGTTTTATGTACATTTTTGCTAGATGACCTAACAAGAATATTTTGATGATATATTTGATTAATTATCTTTAAAAATCATCAGAAATAAATTAAGTAAATGTAAGTGATGCATGTAAGCAAAGCATCTGCTATATATTCATTAATGAGTAGACACAGAAGCCACATTTTTTTTTTCCTTTCAGAAACCAGACTTTTGTATAAGAGAGGATTGGATCAAGAATTTCACATGAGAATCTTCTTATCATTTTAGAAAGGTCCTATATTCTGCATATCCCAGTGTAAGATGAGCAGTTGGTTCAGTAGTTGTGATGTGGTAAGGAAGCTGCTAGACATGCATAAATAAATTAACACCTCTCCTCACTGCCCTACTATGGAAATGCAATCTATCATAGGACATGAAAATGAACAATTAGCAGAACCTTGCTTGAAAACAATGCTTTTTTCCCCTAAGAACAGGATTTGTTGTATTTACTGCTTTTCCAGATGGCACCTAGAAGGCTTGCAAGCCTGAGCAGTGGCAGGAGGGCCAGCATGGACTGCAGCAGCAGCTGCTCCAGGCACAGGGCAGGGAGGCAGGGAGCTGTGGGACAGAGGGAAGCCAGAGGGAAACACTGCTCTCCAGGAGTGTTAGACAAAGCAGGAATGCGATGGGTGCGCTAAGGAGCATGCGGTGTTAGCAGTATGGCTAATGCCATACTGACTTGGGGGAAGCATGCGAGCTCAAACCAGAATGCTCTACAGTCCTCAAGGTAGAAACTACCTGCACTCAGATGCTAAAAAGGGCTGGGCGAGGAAGAGAGCAACAAGCCTTTTATCATTTCTATCATAAGCACTGTGCAGCAGGAGGTGTTCGATAGCAGACTCTTAAGAGTAGGTCCAAAACTCAAGTGAGGACTGTTTCTGGCCCAAGAAAGGTGTCTCACCAAGCTGTTATATGCAGTGGGCTGTTAGATCTCCTGTGGACTTGTTTTCTATTACACACTTCACCTAAAAGAGTTAATATGAAGCTTACTGCTGCCTAAGACTTAACAGAGCCAACAACATAAAAAGAACAAGACGCTGATCTTCCATCATCTCCTAAAACATGAAGTGCAGATACGCATGATTTAGTCAATTTGCATTGTGCTGTGGTCATGTGATGCTCTAAAAGCAAACAAACAAAAACTCATCCTAAAAGCAAAACAAAAGCACACCACTAATGGTTTGAAACTTAATAACATAACTGACATGGCATTTGCTTCCTTTCAGCACTGTTTTTTAAACCTATGGGTGAAATACACTCTTACATGCTGTGGCTCCCTTAGCAGATGCCCTCTGAGCATTTGAAGCTTGAGAAGCAAATAGCAGGTATCAAGCCCATGCCTTTCAGGCATGAAACTCTTCTTAGTAGACTCACCTTACCAGCCTTTAATTTACAGTTTTGTCTAGTGGCTGCATGTCAGCTCCACTACAAAGAGATTTAATTAGTCTGTAATTTGACACTGCAACACATGGACTAGACAGACCAATGAAGAAGGACATGTATGGAACTGCAGAGCAAACTGCAGCTTTGCATTAACTTGGAAGCAAGAACAACTGCCATGTCCAAGCCAACTTGTGCTAACCACTGCAGCAGTAACATAAATAAGCAAATAATACACAGCAAAGGGCTAGACCTTTGTCCATACCTGAGATACAGAAGGTCGAGGGGGCAGTGCAGGCGGTGGTGGGGGCAGCCAGCCAGACCTCACAGCTGAACAGTGAGAAAAGAAGATAAAAAAAACAAACCAAACAAAACCACATTAATGTAATTCCAAATAAAACCAGAATTAATTTCCATGCTTATTTCTAGTGAAGAAGCAGTATTCAACATTTTAATGACAGAAACCAAACTTGATCTTTAATAAGCAAAACCTTGTTTGAAATAACTTCATGAGTAGTGATTGAGTTGTGATTTAATTGCTGTAAAAACCCACAACGTTATGATAAAAAACAGAGATGGAAGCCAGTCAGCCACAAAAGCTGTAGCTAAAGCAATCCAATTCTAGTTAAAGAATGCCAGAAACAGGGTCTACTTGTCCTTGGGATTTTGCTCTTTGTCATTAACATTATTGCCTTTTAAAAAAAGTGATGCTTTAGCATCCAATGTAGACATTAGCATTCACTCCAGATAAAACACACTATTGTGAGGGAGTGCAGCCTTAAAAAAGAAAACATCTGCCATGGAATTAATAGGACAAAAGCCTAAATGGACCAAAAATAAATCCATTTCTTTGGCTTTATGTTTTGTATTTGCATGTTATTACTCATTGGAGGTATTTTGGAGGGAAGAGGAGAAGCAAGAGGAGGAAGACAAATCTTAATGGTTAGTTCAGGTCCCTTTAACATAATGCAATGTCAGCTTTTAGTTTGAGCCAGCACAAAGGGAGAGTAACAATCCGGTAGGTCCAGCTACTGTATTTCTCAGTTTCCTTAAAATACCTAAAACCCATCATGAGACAAAACTACAGGACAAATTATGGCTTCCAAAGGCTGCTGCAGAAAGGAGGACTAGACTAGCACAGACACCAACCAGGACTGGTGAGAGTCCTTGGGTGGGATACCCTCCCCAAGATCCTGTTGCACTGAGTGCTCAGCACTTGCACTGACAAAGATACCAGACAGTCCATCCTGCACTGGTGGTTATTTGTATAGCAAAAAAACCCCAACAATATTAAACTTAGAAATGTCTTTTACCACAATAATGCTAAGCAAGCAACTACATTTATACACTTTTTATTTCCATGCATACTTTAAAAAGCCACAAAGACCATTACGAGCCTTGTTATAGCTTAGCCATTTACATATTTTATACACCAAGTCTAAAAATGTCTACATGGTTGAAAATATGAAGACAAAGGATATTAACCATTAAAGACAACAGTGACATGAGAGTAAGAATGTGTGGGTGAAAACATTGAGAACAATCATGTTGACTACATACAGCTCCAAAGAGGCTTATGATACATCGGGGTTTTTTACATCTTCTGTATCATCATCATCATCTCTTGAATCAAAATGAAGCCTAATATCACTGCACACAATGCCAGAGAGAGAGGTAGAACAATTAAAACCCAACTTAGGTTAAGCAAGGGAGCCACTAACACAGCTACAGGTGTAAGAGAGATTTGAAAAAACATGGTCATAAGGATCCTTTCTCTTGCATTTCATTAGTTCTGTTTATAAGACTGCTACAATACCAGCATGATGTTGTCACTATGTTCTCCATCTCTTCTGCGCAACTAAGCTTTAGAAAGGAACAGTGGAGTAAGAAACCTTCCTTTCCTTTAGTCTGAACTTCAGGTTGTTACTTCATTTATCTGAGCACTGGCGGTAGCTTTGGCAATTATGGCTAGCAACAATATTTGAAACACCATCTAACTCAAACACCAGGACTCTGTGGGTCCACCAGCTGCACGCTGTAATAGCAGACAAGTATGTATGCTCAACATGATATGTATATCTTCAGGAAACCTGGTGGGAGCTGTGCTGCAACACTCCATGGAAAACACCTGTGTGCACCTTACCCTCCCACCACCACCACCGGTTGTCACTGCAAGGGTATCATCTCTGCTCTCCAAACAGCTCTAATGTCACGGGGGAGCGTGAATCACACACACTTCCTAACGAGCCCCCAGCAGCCCAAACACAAAGCTATGGAGTGCACTGATGCCACGAGCACGGGAGTCCCTGGGAAGGGGCACATGGGGTCAGGGTCCGCGGTGCTGCGGGCAGGCACCAGCCCCAGCAGCTCCCTTGGCCCTTCCGAATATACGTAGCCCCCTCCAGGGCCCATTGTTTTTGTATTTGCTGGTTTATGCTCCGGCAGGCCCTCAAAGCTTTGCTACGAGAGCTGCATCCATTGAGAACTCGCCTCAACTTCAGCTCTACATACAGCACTTCCTGTCCTCACTCCCCGATTCTTCAAACCCAGCCATATACCTAGGAAAGCAGCAGTGTAGTCTTTACGCAGAAAGGCACTGGGCTTGCTGGAAAAGCATCTCCTGAAGATGTTGCACGCACTGTGAAACTCCACAAGTCTCCTGGGGTTTGGCTTACAAAATTCCAAAGGGAAAAATAATTTTTCTGTAAGATGGTCAAATTAAAAAAAAAAAACAAACAAAACACCAAAAAATCCCACCCCCAAAAAACTGCTTCTTCAGCTTTCAAAATATAACATATATAAATTTAGCATTAAAGAAGTTAGATGCTTACACCATGTGCATTTGACCCAGTTTCCTCTTTTTAATCCTGCAAATTCTAACTTAAGCTACTCATGAAATATTCATAAAATTCCTGCTGTTGCAGAACATCTTTGGCCTGTTGTTAGAAGGAAATCATGCTTATGTGAGCACAATTGCTAGACAAAAGTTAGTTGACTTTTGAGGACTCATAACAACTTACAAAAAACCCTCACTCTTTTTTCCCTCACAGGACAATGAACAAAGATTTAATGTCAGATGCTGCATGCTTCAGCCTTCTCTAGTGTCACTACCCTACCAGAGGACAGTACTAACTGATACTTACAGGTTTTTATGTGTATCAGCACGTGACTTGTACTATTAGGCTATTCCAGAATACCTTTCTTCCTGGGAGATTGCCCTGCACAGATCGGTTCTTGCTACTAGAGGTGGCATCACTACGTTAGGTCTGGAAGTGAACACAAATACAAGGGGAGGTCTGTTTCCAAAATTAAAGCAAGTAACCTGGGACTGAGCAGCCAACAGACAAATGTTGTAGTTCTGGGTGCACACCTCAGAGTGGATAAGCTGAATGCCACTGCTCTTTGAAAACACATCTTCACATCCTGTGCAAAAGCAGATTGAGCTGGAGGGAACGGGATGGGCGTCCCACAGCTCACCTTGTTGCTGAGCCGCTTGCTGGTGTGCAAACCAGGGTAAGCTGTGTAAAGCAAATCTCATAGATAGCACTGTGGAAAGGCCATAGAGGTACCAGTAAAATAGATTTAAGTATATCCAGTATCCATATCCCAGGTATTCCTGTAAATGATATCATTTTCATGCACTAGTTGTCACGTCCCAACATTGGAGTGACTCAGGTTCGTGCATTTCCTTTGTCAGAATTAAGGTGAAACGACAGCAGGGGAGTTCAAACAACAATCAACATTTATTCAACCTAGCTAACCTTGCCCAAGTACAAGTGAACTTATCCATATGAATCTTCTGTCAGACTATAATTTGTCAGACTGTCACACTAGTTACTCCAACAAAGAGAGCGATTGGGCTTTCAGTTTTCAAAATCATAGCTCTTTACTTCGCATGTTTACACTTTAAGGTGGATTATCTGCATGGAAAGCTTCCAGGATCATTTTTCTGCCCTATTTTGGCAAACACAAAGGTTGGATAGCACTAACAGGACACCACACTAGATTAAAAAAACAGGTTTTCCAATCTGAAGCTAGATTAATATTTTAAAACAAACACCAGGCTGTAACTGTACACTCTGAGAACAGGCCATGCCATCCTATCTGGCCATGCCGCTCTGTCTCCAGCCTCCCTAGCAGACAACACAAACCCTCAGCACTTTCATTACCCACAGTAGTGAAAAATATCAATCATGGTGACCAACCAAATAGCTCCTTTACTTGACTTATTTGATCTGGGAAGAAGAGACCAAGGAAAAACAAAATTATCATAGTCCAGTCAAACCTATGAGAAGTAGGTCTTTAGCTCACCAGACGCAGCAGCAGGGGAGGGTTCCAAAATTAGCGTGGAAAAAATTTGGGCCCTTGGGATCCTTTAGAGCAACCTGTAAGAGCAACATGCTGCACCTCTCTCACCCAATGATAGTCACTTGTCCTCTTGTTTCTTAGTATTGAAGAAAACTGCCATAAAACACTGAGCTTCTGGATGCATGCTATTTCTTAAAATTAATACTGGAACAGCAGCATATAAAACTACTCTTCCTGAAACATTTCCATGTCAGGTATTTATTTCACTTATTGCAGCTGTCTTCCTTCTTGGTTTTATGTCTATCACCTTACCCTGGGTATCACCCCAGTTAATGATTTGGGTGAAAAAAAATGTACTCCTTTTCCTCATCTGAATTAAATCCGTACATAAGCAATGTCCTGAAAGAACAGTGGTTTTCATGGGTCAAGGGCCATTTTGCACCTTTCTAGCCAAAGTGAAACTAGATATACTGCCTACCAAAGGAGGCTGATGTCACCTCACGCCAAAACCCTACACACCTTTCACCCCAGGTACAACAGGGCACCCAGAGTTTGGTGGCTCCTCTTATTTCGGTCACCATTCCCAAAGGGAGAAAGAGGCCTGTGTTTCTAAACTCACACAAAGGGTGCACCCCTAAGCAAACCCAGCCTAAATCCAGGCTGACCTGGATCCAGATGGCCTAAATCCAGGTTCTTGCTTCTGTTCTGCCCCGCTCCCCCCACTATGCCTTCCACAATTGGGTAGGGAGCATCCAGGGACTTAAACTGGGAGAAAACTCTGATAGGGTTCCTCGGTAGAGTCTGGCTGATGTGTTTGGCATTTTTCAAGTGGATGCTACAGCACTGTTGGATCAAGGCAGAGCTGGTTGCATGGCAGTTTTACATCAGTTTATGCTGCTTCAGAGTGCTTAGCTCCCAGATTAAGTTTAACAAAAGACCAACCAATTCATTTTAACAAGAAGCAAAGAACCAGCAATACTGAAAACAGTTAAAAAAAGATAAACCAACAGAATGAATTATTC